TTTAAAGCAGTATTACACTTATTGTTTTTATGCTTAAACCCTTTTCCGTCTTTGACCCGCATGCATTTGATAAATGGTCGAAATGTCTAAAATTTAATGCTCCAATATATATTTTATACTCGAAACATTAGGCTAGACATTCTTTGTTTTACAATATGTATTGAGTTTTTTTCTATTTTATTTTTTATGTTTTATTTAGTTTGTTTTATTACACTTTAATTAATTAAAAAAAAAATTATTATTGTAATATATTTATTTATTTTTTTCCCTCTGGGGGGAAAAATATTTTTTCACGATTCTCCTGTATCTGTATCCTGTTATTATTGTAAAGTTCAATAAACAGATAAAAAACAAAAACAAAGTTTAAGTATTTTTAAATGTAATAATCATGTTTTTTTTTTTAATAATAATACTGAGAGGTATGATGAAGTGCGAGTCGTACCTGGGCACCCAGATGGTGCTGTTGACAGGAATGATGTTCAAGGCCTTCAGCTGCGCTGGTGTGTGGCTTTGAGCCGCTAGTTCTGGATCTGTTGCGCTCCTGGATGGACATGATTCAGGTGAAACCGGCTCGTCTGGCGGTCTGTCCGTCTCCTCGAAGTCTGCGGATAAAGGCATGCTGCTGGAGCTGGTCAGAGAGCTGAGTGCTCCCGAGCTGGAGCGCTCGATGTGAGGGAAATGGCCGATCTGATCCAGCTGCTCTGAGCTGAAGCCGGAGGACGTCATGGAGCAGTAATCCAGCGAGTCCTGCTGGCACAAGATCTGTGTTCCTGCGTCCTCGCGGTGTGTGACCGTCACCTTCACCGGCTCCAGGGTGGCCGGAAGAGACTCTTCGTCTATATCAGGATCAGGGGTCACAGGGGTCATAACCCCGGCCGGCCTTTGCACGGGGAAAACGTCCCGCAGCGGGTTGGCGTCGCTGCAGTTGTATGTAGCGCAGATCTGGTAGCTGGCGGCGTGATACATCAGAAGTGTGTTGGTGTGATCGTCCAGGCACCAGACGGCCTCGTCGCCCCAGCAGCTGGCAGACGAGACCATGGACAGCACGCAGGACGGCGGGAGATACGGCTCTAGGCGGCGGATGGGCTGAAGCGCCAGGCTGTCGATGACCAGCACACCGGGGCCGTTAGTGTACCACACCTCTGATCCGGAGTGCACCGGCACGATGCTGCGCACGGCGTACGGACGCTGCCGAGGGTCCGAGTCCTCCATGTTCAGAAGATGCTTGTTGATCGTGTGCGAGCAGATGTAAGTCTCACCTTCGACAGGCATGTCGTCTACCAGAGAATAAACCACCACGAGACCGTCAGACATGCCAGCGAACACCTGCGGGAGAGACTGAAACACAAGGACATAACGTCAATAAATGTTTTATATTACTGTATATTATATTATGTTAAATGTTTTTTCTTAATACAATAATACTTACTTATATTAATATAATTATTTATTAATATAACACATTTTTATAAATATTTGTATAATATTTAATATTTACTCACATTAATATAATTATTAATATTTGTATAAACATATATTATTATAACATAAAAAGTGTATTATGTAATATATTATATTATGGAATTTTACTTATTGACTTACATTAATATAGTTATTTATTAATATAATATTTTTGCATATATTAATATATTATATATATTGCATTTATTAAAGGGGTCATATGATTTTGCTAAAAAGAACATTATTTGGTGTATTTGGTGTAATGAAATGTTTTTATGCGGTTTAAGGTTAAAAAAAACATTATTTTCCACATACTGCACATTATTGTTTCTCCTCCATGCCTATTAATATATTATATATATATTGCATATATTAATGTAAAAATATTACATTACTAAATAACCATATTAATAGTTATATTATATATATCATGTTACACTAATATATATATATTTATGTAACATAATACATTATATACTACTGTATTATGAATTTTTACGTAATACAATATCTGCTTATGTTAATATAATTATTTATTAATATAATAATTTAACATGTTTACTCGATAGAATATTAAATTTAATGTTATTTGTAAATAACATTTGTAAATCTATATATTATATCAAGATAAGATTACAATACAATACAATAATATAATATATAATAATAAATTTTTAAGTAATACTATATTAATTTTTACTTATTATAATAATAGTTGCTTCCATTAATATAATTATTAATAAAATAGCTTTTAATAAAATAAAATAAAATAATAAAATAAAAAAATAAAATAAAATAAAATAAAATAATAAAATATAAAATAAAATAAAATAGAATAGAATAGAATGTGTAAGTTTGTATGGTCCTCACCACTAGCAGCACCAAAACAAAATATGACCAGAATAATGACCATTTTCAACTAGATTTCTAAAACGTTCCCCCATCAGCCAAAAACACTTACTTTTCCATCATGTCGAGATCACAAGAAATAAGTTGTCACTCAGAAAATGCATATAATGCATAAGACATAAATCTGGAAATTCTGTCTGCTATGAACTCGAAATGCTGCATATTTCAACACAAGATTTCTGAGAGCTTCAGCTCCATTCTGACAAACAATGTACATGTGGATGAACTCTAGTTGAAATGGTTGATTCACATCATCTCTAGCTTTTTTGTCCCATACATTTTTTGGTTTGGCCTTTTGGGCAGAATTTCCCCTCTGCACTGGAGCAAAAACAGAAGACAGACATTATTTCTGCAATTCATCTGTTGCCACTAGTCGTATAGAAATCACACATTTCTTCTGTAACTTTGTTTAATAATTTAAGCAGATTATCAATTCTGTTGTGAACTGTCCTGATGTATTTAACTTCTAAATGGCCTGGCTGTCTGAGGATCTTCACAAATGCACATCATCATACTAAAACCAAACAACATCCTGTCAAACCATGAACAACATCTGAATATTTTAGTCCGCCTTCACATGCATTTTTGAACAAGTGCCATATCTAAAAGCGTTTCCTCCCTAAAACCGTCCTGACAGCCCCAAACCAGCTGCGTGCTCCTTCCCTGATCTCCACAACTGCTTTTGACATCCAGTTTGTCAGTGACCCCCAGCGAATGGACAGCGGGAACAGAGGGCACTTCAAAGGGAGCGAGGCTCATTTAAGAGTGTGTTTGGAGAAGCGTTGAGGACTGAATCTGTCATTGGGACGTCCGCTGAAGAGAGGGAGAGCGGGAACACCTGGATCACAGCGACTGGAGAGCGGAATGAGAAAAGCCTGCCCACTCACCTAAAATATCAAGCCTGCTGTTCTTACCTGGCCAACAATTTAGTCTGATTTGCTGGTTTTAGAGATTTTTTTTGGCACTTGTTAACTGTTTTTAATACTTAGGGGAATAGTTTAACAATCAAAAATGAAATTTTGCTGAAATTTTACTCACCCTCAGGCTGTCCAAGATGTAGATGAGTTTGTTTCTTTATCAGATTTGGAGAAATGTAGCATTGCATCACTTGCTCACCAATGGATGCTCTGCAGTGAATGGGTGCCGTCAGAATGAGAGTCCAAACAGCTGATAAAAACATCACAATAATCCACACCACTCCAGTCCATCAATTAATGTCTTGTGAAGTGAAAAGCTGCATGTTTGTAAGAAACAAATCCATCATTAATATGTTTTTAACTTTAAACCATTGCTAATATATTCATAAAATTGTTTTCTCCAGTGAAAAGTGGTTTTGTCTGAATCAGGAGAGAACTATGCAGAGATCAAGCACCGTTTACAAGCAGAAACAGTCCAATACAGCTCCAAACAAAAATGTGGGTGGATTTTGATGTGAGAGAACAACAGGGGATGGACTTTTTAATTGGACGAAGCATTATTATGGATTAGGGCTCATATTTTGACCAGAAACAACAGTTTAAATTTAAAACACTAAAGATGGATTTATTTCTTTAAAACATGCAGCATTTCACTTCATAAGACATTAATTGATGGTGTGGATTACTTGTGGATTATTGTGATGTTTTTATCAGCTGTTTGGACTCTCATTCTGACGGCACCCATTCACTGCAGAGCATCCATTGGTGAGCAAGTGATGCAATGCTACACATTAATTGATGGTGTGGATTACTTGTGGATTATTGTGATGTTTTTATCAGCTGTTTGGACTCTCATTCTGACGGCACCCATTCACTGCAGAGGATCCATTGCTGAGCAAGTGATGTAATGCTACATTTCTCCAAATCTGTTCCCATGAAGAAACAAACTACATCTTGGATGGCTTGAGGGTGAGCAAACTTTCATTTTTGGATGAACTATTCCTTTAATTTGAGGAGATCCCTTTGATATATATTTTTTACTTTGTATATCTAAACCAAGAAATAAAAAAAACATACAAGAACATGATCAGAATAAGCATAGTTTACATGACAATGACTGCACGCCGGGGCACTGACCTCTTTCCTGGCGGGCAGTAAAAAGAGACAGGTTACCACAGCCGGACAGGAGAGCAGTTTCTGCGGGTGACTCAAGGGACACATCTCTTTCAGGCTGTAGATAAAGACTTCCTGTTCCTGCAGAAACGGCAACAAGGTATCAAGATAAACATCTCCATTCATTTGCTGCTCTCTTACAAACAGGGTTGGGAATCGAGACATGCCTCTTATTCAGAACCATTTTTGGGACTTCTTACTGGGACCAAATGAATTTCAGGATGTTCAGCTCCACCAGACGTTCACTGAATAAAGCATTTGCACATGCTGTCATTGTGTTGCATTAAAATGCATGTGTCTTTTCTTGGTATATGCACTACTTCGGATGGTTTGTGAGTAAAGATGGTGATTGCAATATAATTCTTACACTTTAATGCTTGAAACAAAAAAAAACAATATAAACAGACTAAATTTTAACACCATTTTAAAGGTGATTTGCACTAATTTTTGAAGTTGAAATACTTAAACAGTTATTCTGTGCTCTATGTTTCAAATACACTATTATTCTAAGTTTGGGATTTTTTTATGTTTTTGAATGAAGTCTCTTCTGCTCATCAAGGCTGCATTTATTTGATCAAAAATACAGGAGAAAAACAGTATTATTGTGAAATATTTTTACAATTTAAAAATAACTTTTATTTTTTTGATATATTGTAAAATTTAATTTATTTCTGTGATGTAAAGCTGAATTTTCAGCATCATTACTCCAGTATAAAGTGTCACATGATCCTTCAGAAATCATTCTAATATGCTAATTTATGGCTCCAGAAACATTTATTATTTGTTATTAATGTTGAAAACACTTGTGCGTCTTCATGTATTAGTTTTTTTTGAAAACTGATACAATATTTTTTTCCAGGATTTTTAGATGAATAGAAAGAACAGAATTGATTTGAAATAGAAATCTTCAGATACATTTTAAACATCTTTACAGTCACTTTTGATCAATTTAATGGATTCTTGCTGAATAAAACTATGATTTTTTCAATAAAAAAAAAAAAACTAAACTTTTGAACAGTAGTGATTAAACACATCTCTTAAAATGATTAAAATCTTAACCTAGAGGCATCAGAATCGGGAGAGTCTCAACTAATATTGTGAGTTTGGGGCAGAAACATCAGTTTGTTCAGGAAACCTGTCTGAAAATGGTAATTATTTCCGCTGTTCTGCTAATGGTGGATAAATTACACACAAGACTTGTGCAACAAACATTTGGTTTGACATAAGTTACAACAATCTCCTTTACTGTGAGAACCAAACGCCCTCAGCATCTATTCATTAGTGCTGTTTCCTTGGTAACAATCCTGCGCTGTTGAACCGAATGCCGCGACTGACAGCTGAACGAACCTCAGTGGCCGTCCACAGGCTGTTCTCCATCTTCATTTGGCAGCTCAGACGTGTTCCCGGGCATGGCATCCGCTTCACCACCACCTGCCCCTTGGCCAAGTTTACCACCGTGTAATTCCTGTAGGACACACACAAACACACACACACAGAGAAACATAAATGTGTCTTTTGGGACACAGCAGTTATGAAATCCAAATTTTGAAGCACTAAAATTACAAACCAAACCAAAAGACTAAAACTAAAATAAACAATACCTAAATAGTAACATAAAAAAATAAAATTAATTGTGAAGCAAATGTGAGTGGTGATTTTCTTGGGGTTATCATTGTTAACTAAATATAAAATTAAAACTATTAAAAAAAAATTGTTAATTGAAATCAAGCTGAAATAAAATATAATAAAATAAAACATTAGACTAAAATGAGAAATATTGCATTGGCAACTAACTGAAAAAAGTTGAAACACTAAAATGACAAACCCAAACTGTTTATATAAATAAGTGGGTGTTGATGGATGGATGGATGGGTGGATGGATGGATGGATGGATAGGTGGGTGGATGGATGGATGGATGGATGGATGGGTGGATGGATTGATGGACAGGTGGATGGATGAATGGATGGATAGGTGGACGGATGGATGGATGGGTGGATGGAAGGATGCATGGGTGGATGGATGGATACAGGTGGCTGGATGGATGGATGTATAGGTGGATGATGGATGGATGGGTGGATGGATGGATGGATGGATGGATGGATGGATGGATGGATGGATGGATGGATGGATGGATGGATGGATGGATGGATGGATGGATGGATGGATGGATGGATGGATGGATGGATGGATGGATGGATGGATGGATGGATGGATGGATGGATGGATGGATGGATGGATGGATGGATGGATGGATGGATGGATGGATGGATGGATGGATGGATGGATGGATGGATGGATGGATGGATGGATGGATGGATGGATGGATGGATGGATGGATGGATGGATGGATGGATGGATGGATGGATGGATGGATGGATGGATGGATGGATGGATGGATGGATGGATGGATGGATGGATGGATGGATGGATGGATAGGTGGATGGATGGATGGGTGGATGGATGGATAAGTGGATGGATGGATGGGTGGATGGGTGGATGGATGGATAGGTGGATGGATGGATGGGTGGATGGATAGATATCGAAATAAAATAAAATAATAAATAAAATAAAACAACTAAAACTAACCTAAATTATAGGGTCATTACTGTTAACTAAACTAAAACTATTAAAAACATTTTTGTTAACTGAAATAAAGCTGAAATAAAATCTAAATATTAGATTAAAACTTGAATGAGACCAAATTAGAAATGCTACCAACTAAATGAAACAAGTTTAAGTTGAAGCACTAAAATGAATCACATATTAATAGTACACAAAATATAAATATTAGACTAAAAACTAAACAAAAATGACAAATGTTGTTTTTGGGAACTAACAGAATAAAGCTGAAGCACTAAAATGGCAAACTTAAACTAGATATGAATACAAATTCAAACTGAACAAAAACTAAATAGAACTGAAATAAAAACTAAATCTAAATAGTAACAAATAAATGAAAAATAAACAAACAAACAATTAAATAAATATTGTGAAGAAACTGTGAGTGGTGCTTTTCTCAGGGCTATTACTGGTCACTAAAATAAAACAATTAAAAACATTTTTGTTAATTGAAATAAAGCTGAAATAAAATATAATATAAACATTATTTATATTTAAAATAAAAACAACAAATATATTAATAAATAAATATAAATATTAATAATAAACTAATAAAAAACAGAAAAGCACATAACAATAGTAAGCACATAATAATAAAATTACTAAAAGTTTAACTAAAATTAAAATGAAAACTGGCAATATAAACCTAAAAGCTCATTCAAAATATTAAAAAAAGTAGTACATAAATATAACACTGGCAAGGGTGTTCTGGGTGGTTTACTTGCAAAAGAGTCAAAACAACAACTTTCAAAGATATTACCAAGGCCTGGAAATATTACTTTTTTTTAATTTCTTGATATTTATCTAACAGTAATAATGACGCTTGATGCCTCTAATGCACACAACACAAGTCTTGTTACTCCTGGCTCTTTTGTTCTTTTGTACGAACACAGTATGTTGTACAAACCCAAATGATTTCAGAGCCGCGTATGATTTATGAAGAGCCTTTAATCTAAACATTTATTATACATTACGCTGTTTTGCAGGAGCAGGGCTCTCAGCAGTGTGGGCCGGTTTGCAGGTTTATATATTCTTCTAATTCATTTGCTGAACAGTGATTCATTACTTGATCAGCGGAGTCATTTATCTGATGGTGTGCTGTGACCGCACACAAATGATTCAACCCGTCACAAACGCACCCTGTAATTCAACTACGGACACTTCGGATCCAAATACCCTAGTAAGTTGTTTATTGTGTTTCCGTTTTTTTCCGTTTTGCTTGTGAAGCCGCAATAATCTAATTGGCAACGTCAAACTTGGACAAATAAAGGCTGCGGTGATAAAGCGATTCGGGCCGACCTCACGCTAATGTACTTAAAATATCATTTACAGGATATTGCTGGTAGGCCATCCGATGATCAAGAGGGTCATTAGATCATAAAAACCCACATGGAGCTTTTACTGCCTGCTTTTTTGATGTCTTGTTTGCTTCCCTGCTGAAAATAAAATACTGTAAACCAGCCTAAATTGGTTTGGTCTCCCGGACTGGTTAGAAAGCCCATTCGCTGGCTTTAAAGGAATTTTGGAATTCCATTTTCACTTGTTTTTTTGGAATTTTGAGGCCAACTCAAACCAGTCAGGACCAGAAAAACAGCTTAGTTTGGTCTCGCAGTCTGGTCCTTTAGGCAGTTTTAGGGTGGTTTTTGGCACTTTTTAGCTGATCAGGCTGTTTCACAAAGATGGGAGGCCAAATTCAACCAGCTAAAACCATTTTAAACCAGCTCAGGCTGGTTCGAGCAGGGTTTTCCAGCAGAGTTTCTACTCTTTTTATCAATCAATTTCCATGACTGCTCCAGTTATCTCTGATTACAAGATAAGGATAATTTTTCCTACATAAACACTCAAAAAACGTCAATTTTGACCAGATAAATTACTTTAGAGCAAAACAAATTAATAAATAAATAAATGAATTAATTACACTAACAAAAATTTGAAATGTTGCCTTGGAAACTAACTGAAAAAGTTTAGACTGAAGTACTAAAATTACTAAAACCGAAATAAAATAAACAAAAACGCAAATAGAAATATGAAAAAAGCAAAAGCAAAAACTAAAAATAAATAAATAAATAAATTCAAATGAAAACCGAAAATTAAAATAAATAAATAAAATCTAATTCCAAATATTAATAAAACCAGTACTATGAATGACTAATACGTCATTAAAGGGGTCATATGATGCTTTTTTTAAAGATCATTATTTGGTGTATTTGGTGTAACAGAATATGTTGACATGCTTTAATGTTCAAAAAACACATTATTTTTAAAATACATATGACCCCTTTAACATTTGTTTTCATTAACTGAAATTTAGATTCAATTTTTACAAAATTATTAACAAACAAACAAAGAAATAGATGCTGCATTTATTTGGTAAAAAATACAGTAAAGTAGAATTTCAAATAACCATTTTCTAATTTTATACATTTTAAAATATCATTTATTTCTGTGAAGCAAAGCTGAATTTTTAGCATCATTACTCCAGTCTTCACTTAATATTTTTGTTGAAACCGTGACATAATTTTTCAGGTTTTTGATGAATAGAAACTTCAAAAGAACAGCATATTTTTGAAATATAAATATATATAAAAATATATAAAAATATAATATATAAATGCCTCATTCATTCATTCATAAATGTCTTTACTGTTATTTTTTTGATCAATTTAAAGCATCACTGAAAAGTATATTCATTTTTTCAAAACATTTTACTGACCCCAAACTCTGGAACTGTAATGTACATAATGAATTATATATTCTATAATAATTTTACTAACTCCTAAGTTGAAAATCACAACTTTAAAATTCCCTGATATTCCCAGGTGTTTCCAGCTGTTGCTTAACCGTCTCAAAGCATACTGGCTTTATTTGAAGGCACTCATGGCCATGTTAAGAGCAGGGCACTAGGTAGGAGGCACAACCTAATATTATGATTAACCCAAGAAAAAGCCTTCATTGTTCTGGCCACGATGACGTACTAGAAGACCCTCCATCACATCTACGTCTGCTCCGTTGGTAATTGCAAACACCTGTGCCGTGAGATAAAAGCGACCACTTCGTCGAAGAGTCTTGTAGGATCGAGTGCCCGCAAACAAAGCGGCCGATGATCAGATGAGCCTGGCTGTAGATCACAGGGCATTTATCAGCCTGGTGGGGCATCGTGCATAATAATGAGCTCTTATATACCTGCTCATGAATATTAAAATGAGTCATATTTTTTAAAGGAGGCTTGAGAGCGTCAAGGGAAGCTGGAAAAATTAGATTCCTGAATGATTTTAATGAGGGTGTTTATATGAGTGAGCCAGAGGTCTGAAGGGGAGCAAATTGGTGGTAAATAGAAAAAATGGGAGAGCGTTTAAATGAGGGAAATGGAGTGAAAGGGTGATTACGGGCTGGTGTGGGGCTTGTACCGGCAGACCAGGGTGATTTCTGTAAAGTGCAAACCTGGTACTTCATTTTCTTTGGCCTTTCGGCCTCATTATTGAAAAGACTCAGGCTCTGTTCCAAAACCTAGTGAGCTGCCTACGTAGACGGCAATTTAAGGAGTCACATGCACACTAATGACACGAATGCTTTTCCAAAACCTTCATTTAGAACAAATTCTAGATCACAGTCACATGCAGTAGTGCTGTTATTGTTAACTAAAACCAAAACCATTACAATTTGTTCACTGAAATTAAGCTAAATAAATAAATAGCTTTAGTTGAATGTTGACTCGAAAACTAAATAAAAATAATAATAAAATAATAAAAAAAAAAATTAAGAATTAAATTAAAATGAAAACTGAAAATAAAAGCGAATTCAAAATAGTAATAAAACTAGTACATAGATATGCCGTTAAACAAATTAAGTTAAAATGGGAAAAAAAATTTATTAAAAAAATGTTATTTTCAAAAATTAGAAATGTTGCCTTGAAAATTAACTGAAATAAAATAAGTTGAAGTACTAAAATTATTAAAACAACCTGAAATTTTTTTTTAAATAGAAATATTCAAAAAAGCAAAAGCTAAAAAAAAAAAAAAAAAAAAAAAAAAAAAAAAAAAATGAAAATATAAAAATAAAAGGTAATTCAAAATTTTAATAAAACTAGTAAATAAATATGCCATTAAAAGTTGTTTTCGTGAACCGAAATTAAGCTAAAATAAAATACAAATAAATAAATAAAAAAATTTAAGTTACAAAATGTTAAATGTTAACTTGAAAACTAACGGAAATAAAATAATTTTAGGTTGAAGTACAAAAAAATTACTAAAAATGAACATTTATGCAATATTTTTTATATCAATATAGAATACAAAAATAACCCTAAAACTAAAATGAAAAATATAAAAATAAAAGCTAAATCATATTAATAAATACTATAAAAATGTATAAAAACACTAAAATAACATTAGAATGAAGTGAGAGAAATGTAAATGAACTATAAATATACTTAAAACTCAAGTGTCTATAAAGAATGCTCCTTGTTACTAAAAGTTGACTATTTACCCAATATTTGTGTGTAGAGTATTAAGTCATTAGTTCATCAACCTGCTAAAACCAAACGCTACTGAAATCAGTTGAAACCACCTCTGTAGAGCAATCCAAATCAGTCATCTATGAGGTTACATTTCAGTGCCCTTAGAAGACCGCTGTCTGTGTAGACAACAGACAGTAAGTTGGCTTATTAGGTTTTTAGAACAGAGCCACAAAATCAAAGTCCCAGACGCACAAACCGACATGATACCAGCACAATTTGACAAGAATGCCACGTGAGCATGCAAGAAAAGCATGGTGCTTTCTCAAAAACACACCTGTCGTCTTTGTTTCCATCCCAGAAGACGGCGTTGTGGCCCTGCAGCGGGGACAAGAAGAGCTGACTGTGTTCCTGGCAGGGCAGCAGGTACCTGAGACAAGCAAAACTGGGTTCCTGCATCTGTCTCATGAGAGGAGCGGCCAGGGGACGCTACAGCCACCGCAGGACAGGACATTATTAGACACATGCCTTATTTCACAACATCTGCTGGTAAAATATGACTATTTTTGTCTCAGGTTTATGTCTATTTTAATATGCTGTACACCAAGGCAATACTGTACACTACAGTTCAAAAGTTTGGGGTTGGTAAGACTTTTTAGTAATGTCTCTTCTGCTCACCAAGGCTGCATTTATTTGATCAAAAATACAGTAAAAACAGAACAATTGTGAAATATTATTACAATGTAAAAGAACTGTTTTCTATGTGAATATATGTTCAAATGTAATTTATTCCTGTGAATTTTCAGCATCATTACTCCAGTCTTCAGTGTCACATGATCCTTCAGAAATCATTCTAATATGCTGCTTTGTCGCTCAAGAAACATTTCTCATTATTATTGATGTTGATAACTGTGCTGCTTCATATGTTTGTGGAAATCGTGATACATTTTTATTTCAGAATTCTTCGATGAATAGAAAGTTCAAAAGAACAGCATTTATTTGAAATAGAAATCTTTAGATACATTCTAAAAAGTCTTTACTGTCACTTGTGATCAATTTAATGAATCCTTCCTGAACAAAACTATTAATTTCTTTAAAAAAATGTACTGACCCCAGTTTGTTGAACAGTAGTGTATGTTCTGTATTAATATATACATTTTCAGCATTGTTGCCTTTGAGCTTTCTTTTATATTTCACCATTTTTGTCATTAAAGTCAATGACAAATACCATCTGAAACACATTTGACTTTAATAATTTGACCTTTTTCCAAGTAAAAAAGCGATATTAAATTCAAAATTATGGGGCGTTCACAAGGACAACCATTTGTCGTGACATTTATATTTTGCATTTAGCAGATGCTTTTAACCAAAGCGACTTACATTGCATTTAAGAAATACATTTTCTCAGTTCATGCATTCCCTGGGAATCAAAAATGCATTGCTCTACTGTTCATGCTACAGGAACACAATGATCAACAGCGACCAGTAATGGTGTGACAAAGTTGAGCAGTTGAACTATATGCTAGAGTTTTGAGAAGCTCCAGCGATCAACGGTCTTTCATTGTGAATGCATCTTTAGGTAAAGACAGGTGCGTGTTGTACCTTCTCTGGTTTGGTGTCCCAGCACTCCTGCATCAGCGTCTGCAGACAGTGAAACTGCACCTCCTCTGGGCTGCCCAGCGCCGGTCTGAGTCCTTTAGACAGCTTCTTAGCGATCTGCAGCTGGTGCTGACCCATGCACGGTCTGCGGCCGGACAGCAGCTCATACAGGACCATGCCGTACGAGAACATGTCCACCTGAATCACCGACGACAACCGTCATCTAACAGCAACCCACCGTAATGCTGTTTAACAGTTTCAGGCGACCCGTGGCTCATTTACAGCCAATTTGCACCATGCAATTCCCTGTCTTGCCGGGCAAGGTAGCAAGTAAACTACTGTAGATCTCCACAAGCTGAGCTGAACATTGCACTTTATTTTCTGGCTGTGACACAATCTGATAAATGAAAACAATAATAAACATCTGGTTTCGTCCTGTCTGTGTGTGCAATTCCTGGCCAGAAAAATAAGCAGCACCGCAAAAAATCATTTTCTGACTTTTTGTCCCATTTTCTAATGCAAATATCAAAAAAAAAGAAAAAAAAGAAAATCCTAAATCAAAATACATTTACTTGCAAAGAAAAACAATCTTGTTTTCTGAAAAATGCATGAAAATTAGTTTATGCTTAAAACAAGAAAAATTATCTCAGTGGGGTAAGAAAAATAATCCTTATTTTAAGCATAAACTTTTTTTAAGCATAAATTTTCATGCAGAAAACAAAACTTAATATCTAATAGACCTAATTGATTGACTTTCTCTCCCAGTAAAAAAAAAAATGCACAAAAAAAAATGTTAGTTTAAATATGCCAGTTGACTAAGAAAAATAATCTTGTTATTTAGTAGAATTTAGTATATTTAATAACCATTTTCCTTAAATGAAGTAAATGTATCTTGATTTAAGAATGTTTAGATATTTGCAGTGATTTTTCTTTTGAAACACATTTCTTCAAAAGTAAAAATTGATGCAATATTCAACTTTTCATTCAACAGATTTGATTTATTCAGCCACAAACTAACAAAATTAATGACAAAATTAATATTTAGAAATTTCATACTTTCAGCCACTTGTTGTAAAAGTTGTTCTTAAGTAAATGTAACTTGATATAAGAATGTTTAGATATTTGTAATGGAAAACAAATTAAAAATACTGATCATTTTTTGCAGTGAAAATGTGGCCTGGACTTTATGCCGATGGTGAAATGTGAGGCCAGAAGGGAGGAGAGACGGAAAAGCAAAGGATGACTTAACAAAAGAATGAAGTCATGATTTCTGACACAGCAGATCGTACTTCACACACTCCTGTGGTTTGTTCGGCAGACATATTTCTATTAAACGTCTTTCTAGGTCATTTCCATAAATGGCCATGAGCTTTGACGAGAGCCGTGTCAATCCGGGACTGTATTTTTAGGGCACTTGGCTTTGCCATCACAAAGAAAAAAAAGGCACATTTCCACATTTCGCTTTAATTTTGGTAGCCTGATATGACATCACAGAGCAGGCATGTGAAAGAGCAGGAAATAGTTTGTAGTTGAGACACACACACACACACACACACACACACTCACACTCACACTCACATCTACAGAAACTCTTTACTCTCAATCTATCTTGAGTCCAGATATCTCACGTGAAAAGGCTATCACGCTAATGATTCGATTAGCAATGACATTAATCACTGATGAATTAAAATGCCTCTTAGGAGACTAGGAGAAACACCACTGAATGAT